TTATAACAGCGATGGTTAAGGCAGAAGTTAATTTATTTTGAATTAAACAGTCAATACAAAATAAATAAATATCAGAGACAGCAAATAATGATTATTTTTCAATGATAATGACTATTTTCTGCTGGGTCTATATCGCAGCATATCGTTCGCTGTCGAATTGCGCTCAACTTGATCCCACACATCGCTGTCACTTCAGCTCTTTGTCTTCCTTCTTCTCCTCCGTCCTTATTAAAAACTCTTTTTGTGCTTAAATTCATTTTGGGCTGTCTCGCACGCAGTTTCGTGCATACAGCAGAGTTTTCATCAGCATAGATGTTAAGGTCACTATTTCCAGCAGGGTATTTATACACAAATAAAAATACGGCTGCAATATGGAACTTTATACCAACCATTTTTACCACGATATTTTATTACAGCCGAAAAATGCATACATACATGCATTATATAAACACATATTTATTTGTATATATGTACATATACACGACCACATGTGCATACATACTAGGGCGGGTCCATATGTAAGGCACATTTTTTACTAAGCAAATTTGTTGAAGAAACAATCAGTCTAGAATCAATTTCAAGCTTGCCAAATAACAAAAATAGGTTTTTTCCTTAGCAGCGTTTTGATATGCTCTGTTGTCATAAAAAAGCATTTAATTTTTTTATGAAAACAGGAAAAGTAAAATTTATGTTTTTTACAAGAGTTAATAATGTTTCACCTGTGTGTAATCAAATCTTACAATAAATTTTTAACCAACTTCTCGATGAGCTAGAGACTTGCCACTTCAAACCTAGCTGAGCAGCCGAAGAAAATGCAATATGAAAGTTGAATTACTCCCCCTCGTTTTTTGTTTTTTCTATCAACCACTAATAACAGCTTGTCTCAAACATCTTTTTTTTGACATTAGTTGTTTTCCTGTAAAACGTAAGAAAATTTGAAAATGATTTCTCCTATCCAGGCAATTTCAATAGCTCGAAATTGATTTTTATATCACGGTTTTTTTAGAAAAGTTTATTAGAGTTTCACGTAGAATACTCGTGTCATTCCCGTAAGTAAAAAAAAAATAATGACCCGTTCTAATAAAATATGTATGTATGTGCTTTTATCCACTAAAGCCTCTTATCATGGTCGCAAAAAACCTGTTGCTGACATTTTTATGATGTAAACCCACACACATTGTCAACAGTTAGTAATATGAGTGCAAATACAGACATGCCCTCTAGCCAAATAACAGTCAATTGACGCCAAAATCGATACCAGAGAATCTACCTAGGATCAATACAGGCATATGTGAGTACCATATAAAATCCCCTAGTTCTCTTCATAAAAAATTCAGATAGCAGACCCAGGATGATTCCCTAATTCCTTTTCTATGAGTTTTTGTTGTTGCGACAGCATACAAATTCCTCCAAGGTAAGTTATCAATCTTATTCGCTTCGTTAACATAGACCCGACTGTCGCGGAGACGATCATCAATGAGTACACGCTTAATGCGCCGCTTACTTTTCCTATTGGGTTCTCATGCTTTGTTTTATTAGATAAATTTACATATACATACATATGTAGGTGTGCATCTTTATTTTCGCATTCATCAAAATCTATGTAAGGATATTTATATCATTTTTATTACTCTTTCTGAGTAAAGCCGTCAAAGAAATTTAGATTTTTGATTGCTTTTTATATACATATGTTTGTAGATCTGTAGGTATGTATTTTGTTTTTATGTACATTTTCGATTTTCGACATATTTATGCCATCGTCTGAGCCATTATTATGAGCCTTTTTAATAATCTAGCTTAACGGTACTGTGTTATTTATTTTCATAAATATCTCGATATCTTTATTGACACATTTGGTACATATTTATTGCATCAAAACCTGTTAACAAACCTATATTAAAGTATATACTCGAATAATATGAAGCGACAAAGTGAAACAAAAAATTTTGGTTTATAATTTATTTGTTAGATCCTGCCATATATTTTCTGAATATGCATATTTTTTGGCTGTCATATCTCTTTGAAGGTTAGCAGTAGAATACCTATACGAAAATAGAAAGTGGTATAAAAATAACACCGTCGTTGCATTATTTATTCAATGATGGACATGTTGTGGTTATCAGGTAAAACAACCTCAACTTGAGATGTGCATGCATTCAAGCGTTTGAGCGTTGATACGATATTGAAATCGCGCTGAAAATTGGCGAATGCATTATCTCGCCGAAATTCAATTAAATATTTAGGGGTGGTACTAGAGAAGCATTTTACTTTGGGCCACTTGAGCTATTGGAAATATAAAGCAGCTTCAACGATCAAGGGACTATTGCGAAAATGCTTAACACGCGGGGACCGGAACAGCGCAGGCGTTTAATCTCACCGAGTGTGGTTAAAATCCAAATAGTGTATGCGGCCCGAATGCAGTCAAATGCTGCACAGTAACCAGCACGCTTCCGCGGAGTCAACTCAACATACCGCTTGTGTGCGCTCCGAGTTTGCAGCGCCTTCAGAACAGTGTCGGACGAATCAGCTTTCGTAATCGCCAGTATGATACCCGTGGATATACCGGCGAGAGAATCGACGCTCCTGGCATCCGCCCTGCATGCTCTAACTCAAATATACCAACGTCGAGCCCGGGAAAGCAGCATTACGGAGCGGCAACTAAATTGGAATAGTACAACTAAGGGTCTTTAGATCAATCGCTGTATACCAAATCTGTTATCTAGAACGCATTGCGAAGTAGATTTTTATCTGAGCCGGTCTTTGAATGGGCGTGGCTGTTTTAAGGCATACCTGTTTAAATGTTCAAACATGAGCACAAACCGTACTGTAACTACTACGGAATTAGCGTGGAAGAAGACGTGCGCCACGTATTATTTGAGAACCTTCGATTCAATCGGTAGATGAATTGAGATCAGTCGTTAAGAAGGTGCTTACGCTACAGTCAGTAATCGACTATACTTATTATGAAAGGAGCCAGTGAAAGGTTGATACCAGCGACATACTATCTTCAATTCTGAAGCAACTGAGGAGCCTGCTTGATACCCACATTGTTATTTTGCATTGTGAGTGTTCCCACTTGTACTTTATCTGGTTATGAGGTTATTTTAATAACCTCTAAATTTCAAAGTCCTGACATCAGGGGTTAAAACTTGGAATGCGCAGGTTTACTATATTTGCCCCTTTTACATTAGTATAAATATTGATTTTTCGTACTTATTGAATTTTTTTTCGCTCGGTGTTATATATGTATATGTAGTACCTCTTTTATGACTATACTATTTTATAAAGCTTGGCATAAAAAATTACAACTAAATTCTTTTTTCAGAAGAAATTGAAACTATTTTTAAAATTTTATAATTAAACGACGCCAATTTTTGTTTTTTTTTTTTTTTGCATATCACAAATGTATGGATATTTGGTTATGTGGTTATATTTTTTATTCACTTGACAACAATAATATACAGTATACCTAACACTCGTATCATTTTTCGGACAAAAAACAGTATCTAACTGGGCAATAATCTCTTTTCGCAGTATGTATCTCCATTTAAAAATAGAACCATTTTTACATTACATTACAGAAAGAGTTTTCCAATAAAATAAAGAGATTCCTGGTATGGTACACATAACATCAGGTATTCATTTATTGTGCACCTCTAGGCAAAATGATATGTCTAACAAAAGCAATGTGAATCCAAATTTCCCACTTTGTACAAATATTAGAATTCATAAAAGTGGCATATTCCAGTTTGAAGTGTCGACAAAATACCGTAGATTTTTGATTTTTTTTTTTTGCTGACGGCTTCACGCATTTTCTTTCATACAAAGTTACCATGTTCTACAATTTGTTTTTGTATGGAATAAAATAATAACAACGTCTGCAAAAAAAAAATAACCAAAATCAATCGAAGTTCTTAGCCTATTGAAGATGGACTTTAATAAGCTGCAAAACTGCATACTTGGAATTTTTCTAAAAATTATGAATACCCGATGAGATGACTAGACACGGCTCGGATATGTAAATTAGCAAAGCGGATAATACAACACCCTCCCACTACCCATTTCTGTTGAACCTCGTAGTCGTAGGGCAGGAGCTGTTACCGGCGTCAGAACAGGGCACTGTGCTATGTATATCTCCAATGCTTAATCGAAGGACTATAGCAACAAGCTTCATATGCCAGAAGTTGTCGGGATTAGGGAGGAAAGGAATCGATTCACTACTTCTCATATCAATGCCCAGCGCTCCAAGACAAGGCGTCTCAACCATTTGGGATCACGCATTTTCAATAGCTTGGGGGAGATAGCGGATGTGAAAATATCGGAGCTCCACGGCTTTATCCGGGATAGTAAATGGATTAACAGGCCAAATTCTGATATCAGGGAATAACTTCGATTAGAAAGATGTGCCTCCTCCTCCACACTCATAAAGGGCATTCACAATGGCGAGTCTTTAGTAATTTTTTATCAAACAATTTTATTTAAAAAACACCATTGTCCAACGTTTTGCTTAAATTATTTTGTCGTAATCTTTTAAATTTTCAACTATACTATGTCCATCACCAATTTATTACTAATCTACTTATAAATTCTTACTTTTTTTGTAAGAATAATAAAACTATCAGTTCAGTTCCTTTAATCCAAAAATACAAAAATATAAATGTAAATTCTAGAGCGGGACAATTTGTATGGGAGTTTTCTTGCGACTACGCGTGTATAGCACAGAATTCGCAATTTGGCAAACTCCAAATTGATTTTAAACCCATGGTTTCTTCAGCAAATTTGCTTAGAAATACACCTAGAATACGCCTACGCAATACCTACTTGCGTATTAAAAAAAATGTACCCGCACTAATAAATACATATATCCTTTGCCAACTGGCTACTGATTTCGCGCGCTTTTCATTAGCCGCGTTCTTCTTCGTCGTTTTAGGCGCTCAGTTAACTCTTGGTCTCATACTGACTGTTCCCTCCCTAATGTCTGACCCTTAGCTTACTAAATCTCACCAACATCCCTGCATTACAGATAACTGCTGTATCGCACCACAACCCACACGATTCTGCATATAATCGGGGAAATTACTTTGCAATACGCGCATGGTGTTGCGATTGTAGTCTGGCACGGCATGTGTCGCCAGTTGACAGGTGTCGCTGCGATAGACGGGCTTGAAATTCGATTCCACAAAGGCGGTGGATGTATCCCAACGATAGACCTCTGAGTCGCCTTCATTGCGGAAGAATATCGCAGAGCCATTGTCCGTGCCGATAATAACCATGCGTGAAGGTTTCTTACCCAAATCTGAAAATTGTTTACAGCAGCAATAAAAAAAGTCAAGTCTGTATTTTTATTGGCCAATTATGCTTACCCATGATGCGGCCATCAGCTGCGCCACTTCGCAAGTACTCCGATTGTAATGAGAAGAGTTTGTTGGTACTCAGATAGGTAAAGTACAGCTCCGTTGTGCCGCAATCTTTGCGTATCAATGCAATATAGAGCACATCACGCGCTCTGCAGCCATTGGCGACCACTTTTGGTAGTACCACACGGAAGCCACGATCCGCTTGTAGGTTGTACACGATAATGGCACGATTCGCAGCATCGCTGACATAAATGAAGCAACTGCCGTCGGGCGCATAGTCCACCACTATATACTGCAGTCGCGAATTCGGAGAGGTTAAACCCTCCAACGAGACAGATTTCAACACTTTGCCCGTCTTCACTGAGAGCGCAACCACTTTGGGGGCACACTTGCGTTCAGGCGTCTCCAATGTATTCACAATGCCTGTGTCCAACACCCAGAGCACCTCATTTTGATCGACAACTAAATCAACAACCGACTGGAAACCCTTGCATGTGCTGTCGTCCTGCATGTCCCAGCAGGGGAAGGGCGCAAGCGTCGTTTGGCAAGCGCCCGATTTTAGCGTAGTTTTTGCGAGTGTGGCGGGTACGCCATGCTTGTAGCGCGGCAGCGCTAGAAAGACGGTATCGCCGACTATTTGCGCGCGCGTCGCTATCACATTTTTCGAAATGTACTTGCCTGAACTTTTGAAAAGCGAACGCGATGAGCCAGGAAATTCAAATTGTCCACCAGTCCACTGTATAGTTGGAACTGAAGGTGGTGCGGATACTACTTCAGTGCTGGCCGCGGTGCCGTAGCTGTTGTGTTTCGCAGCGCAGGCTGTTGTCCAATAGGCGAATGAGCAAGCTGCGATCAGCAGATAGTGTTTCCACATTTTTTAAGCTGCAAATGCGAAAAGAGTTGGTGCAATTTTTTTTGTGTGCTTAATATTATTTTTTATTGAACCCGTTATATTCGTAAATTTATGGCGCGTTTTTCTTATTTGCCTGCTTATATGCAACTTCAGCATTAATTTTTATTTCATAAGAATTTATTGCTATTTTATATGGTTTTACATTTCGCTGGCTTCTCGGCGCATATGCAGAACTCGCTCCGTATGGCGGCGGCCGCGGCGGCGACAGCAGACGTGACGCACGCCATTGCGCAATGCGGATTTTCATTACAATTTCACTGCCAAGGTCAATTGTCTGCGACGTCGAGCAGCGTGGCTGTCTGTCGGCGTTTATTATTTAGTTTTTTATTGTTGTTATGGGTTTCTTCTCGGGTTAACATATGTTTGTAACAGCAGGGCAAAGTGAAGACCGCGCTTACGGCACGAGCTCAATTCGCTTCTGGTACATGCATTTCTACCACTTCCACTTCCCATACGCACTTGGGGAAACAAATATGGTTTATTGTTGTTGATGCGATTTTTTGAAATTTTCCAATCTGAGTTCATATCTGCTCTATTGGGTAGGCGAAAACAGTGAAATGCAGCCACTGAAGTGGACAAATTTTAGTTTACACAGAAAGAGCAATTTTGGTTAAAGCTTCGTCCCAGCGGCCTGGCCAGCTGGCTTCTCACACACTCTCTCTAGGTTACAAAGGCTACAGCACACATACAGGGCGGGAAGATCCCCATCGACATCGACGGACAGATGGATAGTTTAGGCTGCCACATACCAGGATTGCTGAAACTGAAGTCGGTGACAGCATAGTACAACTTCAAACAACAAGAGGTTGCCGGCAGGCAGGGTGTTGTCACCTCTTTCGGGGAGTCTACCAGTGGACGAACTCCTTCAGATACTCACTGGCAATACGACGTCGTAAAAGGAGGACTTAATCAAGCAAAAAGGTGGTCTTACGACAGCCATTTGTCTCTTTCCCCAGGAAAAAAAACTCTCAAAGGGATGGGGAACTTGACCTTGGATGAATTTGCGATCAACGTCATCACAGAAGTGAAGCAACCGGGTTTTATCCTGCACTTTAAATTCCTGTAGAGAACTCATTTTGAGGCGGCCACATCTAAGGCTACGATAGTGCTGATGGTATGCACATATCTAGCGGAGAAATCCTGAGAATGTAAGAAAGATCCAAGGTGTAACCTCTGGCGCAGTGGCTTGGGTATCCAGAACTAAATTATCTGGCAATGGTAAAGCATTTCCTCACTAAGATTCAAAGTCTGGCGTGTGTTTGCATGACGGGGGGACTATGAGTACATGTCCGACAGTAGCTCTGTAGCTAATGCTCGAACTACAGCCACGGCATCTTACAGTTGAGCAGGCGGCAAATCGAAATCTCCTAAATATTGCGAGGAAGGTCTTTGACAAAGATAAGGTTTCATAATCTAGGAAGGACAAGCTAGGCTTCCAGCTCCCGCTGGTGCGGTGCATGGAGTAGTAGTTTTCATAAGAAGCTTTAAGATTAATATATACAGCAAAGCGACCTGGAGTTCATCCAGTATAGAGAAACACGTCCACACGAGCATTATACAGTGTTACACTGACTGCTTAGTTTTGTTGAAGTAGGGGTATATGCCCAGCATCTTCCAAGTCGAATTGTATGCCCTTAGTATGTGTGCAGAGATTAACCTTCGTAAAAATTAGCGAAGAGAGATGATTCTTATATCAAGTGATAGTGGGGCGGCACTTATGGATCCGTCATCCTTCGAGATTAAATACTCATTGCTACTGGAATGCATTAAGAACTTTATTGCTTTTCACCTATGTAATAGAACTTGAGCTCTTCCTTGCGGTAAAGAAAGTGTCTTTAGGGCTATGTACAGTGCTCTGATGAGTTGAAGGCACCATAGACCTACTGGTCGTAGTGCTTACTCTATTTATAACTATCTATTTATCTATTCCCACCAAGCCAAGGAGAGAAAAATTGAACAACTCCTACAAAAGTAGTGGCAGAATACAGTGCGGGATTCAGACCAGCTGGCTAGCAACACCACCCGCTGGGAAGACAAGGGCGCCGCTAAAGGGTAGAGGTCACAGCAGTCTCGTTGTGGACGGCACGGGGAAGGGGTGGAACGACTCCACCTGACTCTGACTTTCTTTCCTTCTGCTTTTGACTTTCGTGTTTTCCTACTTTTACGTTCCTCACCGTTTTTCTATCAATGTAGAAGAAATCGATAATGTAGAGCATTTTCTATATTAATGGCCCGGCATAAGCGAAAGTAGACCGACATTGGCCTAACCCTTCTTTCTGAAGTGTCTGTTTCAAATAAATAAGTACAGCTAACAACATCAATTTTGGCACATTCAGAAGAACACCGAATCGATTTCACTTATAGGGAATAGAAAAGTTTTAATATTCTGTCTTACGGTATCACAACGGGCCCCCATGGTGACCGAGTGAGCCATCTTCCAATACTTACCAATATTTACAGCACAATTCCGATTGAGATACAGTTACAAGTATTTTTTAGGATAAATGAAAAAGGAGGCAAGATATTTTAAAAAATATTGTTTATTCTGACACGAAAGTCTGCCAAAAAAGCTCGCTTGCACACTTTCGTGGTGAAAAGCTCTTTTGACAGAAAGCACTTGAGGATTTTCCCAAAGGAGTATCATTTTGCTGTTCCAACAGTCACAATGGCCGAGTGAGCAAATCTTCGAATCTTCGTGTTTATTTCATTTAAGTTTTAGAAACTTATTTTATCTGTTTTTACTTTTCTTTAATTCTATTTTTATTTTATTTTTGTCTAATAGGAAAAATATTTTTTTAATTTTATTTAATTTTTAGGAACTTTTTTTATTTTTTCGTTTTAATATATTTTTTTCGTTTCTAATTTAATAAACTTTTAGAAACTAGTTATATGTATTTTTTATTTTTTTATTTTTAGTTTTTTTCTTTTTTTAATTTAATTCTCTATTAACTTTTAGATTTTAATGTTCATTCATTTGTTTTACATTTCATTTAATTTTCAGAAATTTATTTTATCAAATTTTTCTTTTCTTTAATTTTATTTTGATCTTAGTTTTTAGATTTTTTTGACAATTTTTTTTTATTGCATTTAATTTCAATAAAGTTTTTTATTATTATTTTTTTTAAATAAATTTTTCCTTTAATTTTTAGATCTTATTGGTTTACTTTTAGAAAATTGTTTCATGTATCTTTTTTTATTTTAGATTTTTGTTTTTTTTTTTTAATTTAGTTTTCAGTTTTTATTATTTTGAAAAGAAAAACTTATGCAAATTTTTATGTAATTTAATTTTTGGAAAACCTATTGCTTAAAGACAAACAGAATAACGCTAAGACCTTCGCGTTAGCAGATCTTCCAATTAGCCTATCGAAAGACAGAAAAGAGTTTTCGAGATAGTCGCCTGAATAGACAATTTTCTCACGAACGACTTTTGTCTTTCACAACACTGTGGTGAAGTGAAAGAGAGTTGCCAGAATTTGCAGGAAATATATGTAAATAGTATTACAACAATCTAGTTGAACTTCCACAGGGGTACTCAAGGCTTCGATGAGTGGAAAGGTGGGCCCTTACCTTTTATACTCGTATGAGTCACTTTGCATGTGGATTTTTTAAGGATGGAGCAGCAAGAAGACCGAAAGTACGTCAGATTACTAAGCCGCTGTGGAAAAGACAAATTTGGTTTCCACTTTCTCAAACACTTAATTTTGATCTTTGCTTTGCTCTTTGCTTTGCTCTTTGCTTTGCTCTTTGCTTTAATGCTACGGTTTATTTAAAACCAAAGACAATTTAAATACAATAACAAAGCAAAACGAAATAAAAGTTATTATCGAAATTTGATATTCTCGGGTTATTGAGAGAAAGGATACACATAACCAAACACAAATGCAAAGATATAAAAAGGTGCGCAAAAATCATGGCTTCAAAAGCTGAATTTTTAAATAACCTCGGGTGTGCGCATTTTCCGCTATGCATGAACGAAGCAAGAAATCCGTAAATGCTTACATACATTCATACATACAGACAGCGATTAACTCCATAAATCCGCATTTACGACAAAAAAAAATATGAGTCCAATGCTTCTTATTATTGTTGGTTTTTTACATTAATTTAATTTAATTTTAATACCACTTTTCGCTTAAATAAAATCATACGAACTTAAATAGGTTACTGAAAAAAGTGCGTCGTTGCATTATATGTATAAAAGCAATTGGTGAAAAGTGTTGTTGCTGTACAGCGAATTTGCAGAATTTACGAGTCTTCTTTTGGGTACATAAAAGTCGAGATTTAAATGCCAATAAAAGCGCTTTATTATTGCAACGCCTGAAATTATGCTACATCATTGTGTGATGTGTTATTTGTTGAAGCAAATGAATGAGCAAATACCAACGCAATTGAATTGCCAGTAGGAAAGATCGGATCTTAACGAAAGTACTTTGGTAATGAGTTAATTTCTTCCAACTGAAAGAGGATGCGAGTAAACATTTAACTACTCGTTTTATGATCTCAATATTAAGTGCAGCGTAATTGCAAAGTCTTTCTGGCCGAGGGTGGACAAGGGGCGGTCGAGGGCACTCCTAATCATCCCTGATCTCGTGTGTCGCTGTTGCCTGGAGGATGACGAGGTGGAATCTCCTGAAGAAGGCTGCAGGGCTAGTGGATTCGCCCTCCAGATCATTTCTTCCTTTGATAATCCCCAGGTAATCCTTGACAGATAGGTTTAAAGTCGGCTGTGCGAAAGCTGAGTAAAACTTTGGAGTAGTAAAAATGGAATATACATACATATGTACTTATGTAAGAACATACATATATATGTGCAGGCAATAGCAAGGCAGGATGTAAGACTTAACATTATTTTAGACCTCTATTATCGCAACTGAACAGAAAACTAAATAGCCTGGCCTGCCTGAAAAGCCTCCGAAATCTAGAACCGTTGCTCCTCTCTGAATATACTTCCGAGTATTCCG